CATTGATAAAAAATTTCAGAAAAGCAAAAATTTCCATTTCGAGAAAGACAAATAGAGGGAACTATATCTTTCCAATTATTTTATCATTATAGCTCTATACTAATATATATTTAACTGTAACAGTAAAATGTATACCACTCAGATGATGGTGCATCGTATAATATTAAAAAGTTCCTTGTTAAGTTAACTATGATGTCGGGGTAGAGTTGGTTTTTTCCAGGCTTAATTGTTTATGGACGAAATTTTCGAAGTGAGTGTAAGCCAACATTATTAATACATTGTTCTCTAAAATACTCAGAACCTGAACAATCGCAATTGAGTACATTAATTCGTTTCATACTACATTGAATTGCTTATATGATGAAATTATATTCATACACACTAAAGTACTAAGTCATAACTGTTTTTCCAGGTGTCCAGGATCATTTACCAGTGATCCATCTTATCCTTTCCCAAATTGTTTACAAATTAAAGATCGATGTGCCAGTACAATATGCATTCATGGTGATTGTGTTAGTTCAAAAGATGGACAAGTAAGATAATAATAACGTTATTTATTATTCATGGATTATTTGCTTAATTATTTGGTTATTATGCTTAAAAGTAACATAGTTGGGTAGGCGAAATAATTCAACTGAACAGCTTAAGCACGGATAGTGAAGGCTCGGTTACCACTTTCCACAAAAATCGAAGTGATATATATATATATATATATATATATATATATATATATATACATGGGTCAGTTAGCAACTGACACTTGTGATAATAAGTATCTTAGATAAAACTATTATGTCATATAAATTTATATGGAAAACGGTATGCTACACTCACTTGTTATTTAATAACATGTATGTTTTTATCATCTGGAAGTTCGTAGTTTAGAAAATATTTGACAGATATTTTTGATGAAATGTTAAATTATTTTCCTCTCACAATACTTTAACTGATCGTATTCAGATTACCAAACGAGCAGGTATAATGGAAAATAATTCTCCATTCATGTGATTGGATACATAAGATTAGTATTATGATCATAAGTGATAATATAGATTAAAGGAAACCTTCAATGTTATAAACCTTACTCTAGGATACTTTTACTATTCTCCTATGTATCAAAGAATATTCATTTTCAGAATGGGTTTTGTGGAGATTTTTTAACAATTTCACGGGTTGAAATTATGAGTCAATTATTATATATAGACATCAACACCATTGGATGCCGGCTCAATGGTCTAGTGCTGAAGTGCTCACGTGCGAAAGCAGTAGGCCCTGGGTTCGAATCCTGAGGGGTGCGGGATCGTGGATGCGCACTGTTGAGGAGTCTCGTACTAGGCCGAAACGACCGTCCAGTGCTCCCAGGTTTTCCATGTTGGTCTAGCTTCAATTGGTTCATGATTTCAACCTGTGAAATATTCATTTCTTATCACTTTTATCCTTCGAATGAGTGCACTCGTTAAAGAATAATAGGTTTCGATTGAATGTTTAGTATTCAATTTGTGAATTTAAATCTTAAATAAAATGGGTCATTTGTTTTAGCCCATTTCAAACTACTTAAGTAGTTTCATCCCAGTTGTGTTCACTGACTTATTGAATACAATACTTTGGATTCATGTGTATGTGTTGGTATTGAGTTGTATTCATTGAACTGTATGCTTCAGTAACTGTAAATGTAAACGTATATTGACAATAAATAATAGATAAATAAAACAGAACATTCGATTGTATTACATTTTGTCTTCTCAAAACCGGATCCGATAAATTAAGTATATAAATCAAAAAAGAATTAATCACAGTTACTTCAATAAGTCTCCAAGTGATCTATAACATTTGTTAAAAAATGTTTAGAAAGTTTATTGGAGCTTCGACCGGGAATGACAGCGTGAAATTAGTCCATATGTATAGGGAATTATTTGACATCTCCCGAAACTTGACCACTATGGATACCGATTCCAGTCGGCTGGAGATGACTTTTCATGCTGTTCATCAATTTCAAAAAGGCAACTTCAAATAAATTCTATTTGTGGTTGATTCTGGTTAATTTTTTGAGAATTATTGAATTTACTAACATTTTATCACAACAAAATTTAGTTGACTTAAGTAAATGAAAATTACAAATATTTATTTTTTGTATTATTACTCAATTCCAGGAAAGTTATTGTATTTGTCCTGAAGGAACATATGGAAAATATTGTGAATTAACACGTGGACAATGGGGTCAATGGTCACCATGGACTGAATGTTCACCAAATTGTGGACTTTATAATCACCGAAGGCGTATACGTACACGTGACTGTTTAGGTGAGGCATGTAGCGGTGGTTTAGGTTATTTACATATGGAATTCTGCGATACAAAACCTTGTTCAGATGAGAAACTGATGTTAAGTAGAATAAATTTGTCAGAAGAAATCCAAAAATTTAAAATGTTACAAGTACAAGGAACACGTTATGTAGAAATATCAGGTGAGATTGCTAAATACCTCTTATTAATAACTTGTATCTTTTCTGTAACTACAGTGACAGCTATGATAATAGTTGTATACTGTTTATAAAATTTTAATAATGACACAGCTTACTTAACATACATAATTCATGTTGAACATAAACTATTATTGTTTATTTTATTAAGAAATACTGATTGATGAAGAATATTTACCTCTGAGAACTGTAGATGATCGAGGTGGAGGAAAATTAGTCATATGAATAAACTGATAAATAAGTTTTTTATGAACAAGTATATAATATCAGGACTGAAAAGTTTGGAAAATATAAAGAACTAATGCATTTGTGCTAATATCAACGACTTCGAGCAACGTCATGTAAGCCTTCCAACAAGGGGGTACAATAGTCATGAGAACGTTAACAGGGAAATCTACACATGACATAAATTAGACGAATAATCAAAGATTTTATGAAAAAGCAACGTCTTGGTTTGGCTGCATTTAGTCTCATCCTAACCTGCCTTCTATTGAGGGTGGCATTAATTTTTTCTGAGACATCCTTGGTTGGCCTATTATTTCAATACTCAAATCGGCTAATATGTCCAACGTCATAGGGGAGTTTCTGGTGATCTTTCTTACACATACTCTTTTGGCATTTTTTAAATGGTTAGCGTACCATCTCTATATCATACTCCCCACTTCGTAAATAACATGTCCTCACCTGACTGCAATAATCTCCGGTATCTATGTTGGGTTTGGACTATGTATATCACATATCATCGCTGGTTGTCCAATTGTGAATTTTCTAGGTAATGCTCTGGACAATTTACCTTATCGATCCGCTATTTTTCTGTTCAGCTTAGAAATAGTCTTAAAGATCATCTCGAGATATTCTAATCTTTCTTCCAAACGTGACTTCCATTAAAGAAACTTAATCATTAACTGAATGATTGGATATTGAAAGTTGAGTGAAAACGTTTGCAGTATTTCTTCGACTCTTCCTTCCCCAAGCACTTTGATAAGTGCTCTTTTAAATGTACCCGCGAATTTTCGAACCTGACCATGTGAGTGAGAATGTTTAAGGAGAGTTCTGACATGTTTATCTGTATTTAACAAATCAAGTTTGGAAAATTCTGATTATCAAAACCGAGGTTCACTTTCCTCACATCAACACTTTAGGAAAGCCAAAGCAACTAAATATTTGCTGTAATTTATCGAACTTAAAGTTTGTTGAAATAGACTCGATACAATCAGTTTAAGGTCACTACGTAAATGCACCAACGGCCACAGAAGAATTTTCGTTTCTAACAATACCGGAAAAGCCAACATTTATTCTAGGCCATAGATAAGCATAAGTTTCCAAACAATAAGATTCAATTTTTCGTGGAGGTCTGACTGCATTTGAATATGCAGAATATTTCATTACACAATTTTCAATCTGATGAGCATCTGTTTCACGTGATACCGCGGCTACATTGGAAGCGGATGGAGATTTAAATCATTTACTGAACGTACTGTATTCGATGGAACAAAGCGTGTATTCAGGCTCCTAATCCAACCAATACCAATGAGATCTAAATCATATCTATTTACTAAATAGTAAGTTCCGGTAAAATAACTTTCACTGAATTGAACAGCACATTTAATCACCACAACAAGTTTAGGTATATCACCAGGGTTCTAAAATGTACAGTCTGTCAGTAATAAAGATAGGTAACCTATAAACTAACAGATTTCTTCGCAATAAATATAAAGTTCACACACATACTCAGTTGTGGTCGGTTATGAATGATTTTTGCTAGTAAAGTCACAAACTATTTTTTGTCTGATATGTTGAGTAGAAATGTTGTATACATACTGAGTATGTGGCTTTTTCGACTAAGGTAAAAAATCTCTCGTGATCCTGGATTCAAATGATAACTTGTACACCAAATAACTTCTTTATGAAAATGGTCCACATTCGAACCCTGATTTGAGCGAAAAGATCTCATGTAGAGTATATTGATACTGATGAAGGGAAACTGAAATTGTAGTTTTAATCTGTGTACACAGAGATCCGTCAAATGCTTCTTTTTAACGTTTATTCAGGATTAGTTGAATAGTGCTTAAAGGACGTGAATCCCGGTTATTGGGTTTGGATTCTAATGCATCTACCTAGGTTTAGACAGCTAGATAGTATTGTAAAACACGACAGTAGGAATGTATGTTTATAGCAAGAAGTTACAAAGTTTACATAGTAGATATACATAGCCTTCAATCGTCCATTTGCATCTTCCGATGTGTTCTACAATTTGAATTGTCTTCTCGACTGGCCAACACCGTGCTTTCAATATACTGAAACTCACCACTCTGTCCGACAACTGTTGCAACTCCGACACCACGTTTCGCTACACACTACTTACAAACGTCCTTATGAGCGGAGTTCACTACAGTACCAATGGCCATTACGTAGAGTGGCTAGAATATGAATAAATAAGCCTGTACATGGTAAATCAGTCGCACTAAAATTCGATTTAAGCATATTCGTACTGACTGACGAACAACCAGTGGATAATCATATTTTAAGTGGTTAATATTAAGAATTTTAAATTTTACAAAAAAACCTTATGAATTCGATAGATTTTAAGTTTTTATATTCACATTTGAATATTCTTCAGTAAGCGCTAAAGCTCATCGGAAACGATAACTGAAATCCTAATAAGAATATAATACAAAGATTTGCATTCCACATAAGATGAATACCATATATATTCAAACGAGCAATTTCTAAATAACTATGTACTCCAAAAGTAAATTAATTAAAAATATGACAACGTCAACGTATTTGAACAGCAGTCTGATCTTGTTCGAAAACATAATAATATAAAATTTAGGAAAGAAAATAGCTTTGAAAAGAACCTGAGGAAATATCTCAGACTATCGTCGCTAAATGCCTTGAAGAAATTCATTTGATAGATGATTGTTCACACTATTAACAATACTAACTAATTCTGTACAGAAAGTAATATAAACAAGTTACAGTTTATTTGATAAGTGTGGATTATAATTACAATTATCCTGAATATACATGTTCAAGATGATTATGTAGTAATCGCACTCCCGTTTTCTACACATTCTTTGAATTATCAACTCGATCATCCTCTCCGCATTCAACACGAACAAAGTCTTCAAGGACCATTTCATTCCGTGATAAATGTTCGCCTACACATATAGTTTCATCTAATAGAAAGGGTTGTAGCAGAAGAGATTTCTCTTCTTCCGGATCGGCAGCTGGATTTTCAACAGATTCTAATCCAGGATTTGGATTCATGCCAACAATATGCTGACAAACTTGTCTCCCCAAACGTGAAGCTCGTTCATACCATGGATCATTGGCAGGCTGACATAAAATAAAAAAACATAGTGAAAGGGTTAGAAGTGTTAATTATTCAGTATGGTAAGATATATATAATGAAAAGAAACAGCCCATCGTCGTGAAGTTTCGGATGTCAGATAATTCTTCACAAATAATCTACTGAGTTACCAAGTTTTAGAATAGGGGATGAAATGATTGATTAATTATTCAAGAAGCTGTATTACCTTCAACGTTATATCAGGTTCTGAGATAACTGCTTAGGTAAACGAAGTCCGTGTTTCTTGCCGAAATTACACATACACCAATCAACATTCAATGGCTTGTGCTGTATGAGTAATATTTATTATTTATTTATTTGAACACATAAAATTGGTACAAGGGGGCACCAAATATATATGCGCCACACAAAACAATGAGAATTCGAAGAGAAAAAAGAAGGTAAGGAGCGTAAAAAAGAACAATAACGAACAGATCAGTGTAAGATAGTGTAATAATAATAATAATAATGGGGGAAACGGAAAGGTACAATCAGAAGAAATCTGAAGGAATAAACAACAGTTAAGGAAAAAACAACCGTTTTCTATGAAGAAAGTAAAACGTTACAGTAGGATCGCCACTGGCTTCTATTCTGAACCATATCTGATAACGTCTCTAACTGCTGTGCTGCACCATCTCTAGGACCCCAGCCAGGGAGTCATGAAGGACCAACAGAAGCCAGGCCTTTGCAGCTTTCTTTCATACCACGACACCATGTCATATTTTAGACGTCAACATAATGATCATATTTATCAAAGAATCATATCAAGTACAATGTTGTTGGTTAGCTTCCTCATATTCTAAAATTAAAAACTAAGACCAAGTTATTTATGTTGCTTAGGATGTAAATTCCTGGTTGGATTTTTAAAGAAATGAAATTAATCAACTGCATTTTCGAAAGAACAATAAAGTGCTGATATCTGTATTTAATTTTCTATTGTTGTGGTGAGCTCTGATGAAAAATTAGGTAGTGTCTACAGAATTGTGTGAATAAAAATCAAAATAATAGACAGCTACATGTAATTTTATCTAGAACGTTGAAATTCATATCCAACATTTTTTAAGAGCTTTGATTCTACATGAAACGAAAAGGTCGGATAACAATAAGAAGCTTTACATATGACACAAAAAGTAGTTAGGATCCTCACTACATAGTTTTCTGACAGATTGTATAGCTTTTGAATTAGAATAAGCCATTCCTTTCCTGGAAATATAAAAATATTTCACACACAAAACGTATTTCTGAATCCGTTTTTGCAAGCGTAAAGTGATATATGTAATGGGTTCTATCGAAAAATCTGGCACTTAAGTTTTTATTAAATAAAAAAAGCTTGTAGTGTTTAGAATTAAGTTAGGATGATGATCATGTAAAAATCAATTAGTTCAGAAAGCATTCCAAAGTATGTAAAATATTAGTTGAAGTTTCATGCTTCAATATGGCTCACGATGATCACAAGCTGAGTCGCAAATAAAAACTAGACTTACTTTGTCATTCAATGGTCTATAGCGAATGATAGCAGCATACTTTCCAAAGCGGACATCTCGTATCCCTTGTAATATACTCTCTGAGCTCGTGTGTGAATAAATAGCCAGACAACTTGTGCTAGTGTTATCAGGGACACAAAGTCCGACAGCTCTTTTTAGTTGAATACTTTCACCAATAGATCCTATGGCTGCAACCGTAATATCTTTCAAGGTAGAGGAGTTGGAGGTTACCAACTTATCCAACTGGTCGGAATCCAATGATAATTTAGTAGGCTCCTTAAATAAAAGCAAAAACAAGGCAGTAAAGCAGATATGAACAAATGCTGAGTGTACATTTACTTCAATCTATGTACCTGGGTATTATTATTTATTGTGGTGATCTGGCATATTAAAGACAGAATTATCATTCTTTATTATATTATAGATAGTTTGAGGAATATAAAAGTATTATTTGTTTGAAGGGCATTTGTAACGAGGAAAGTCAAAGAACATGAACAAGTTGAGAATTCAAGATTTATATATTATCGTGTACTTTATTATCCGAGACTAAAGCTTTTGGCTTTTCATCGTTTAATTTCGAACCATCCAAAACATTGACCGGGTTTTGTGAGTTCACATACGTACATACCAAATCAAATAATTGAAGGCTCAGTTTTCAACTGGATACAGTCAGTTTTTCAGACTGCATTATCAATTCAACAGGAAACCTAATTCACCAAAGTATTTGATGATATTCGTTTGTAGTATATGCTTCTGAAACAACTAAAAAAGTGGATGCTTACAATAGATTAAGTAAAGAGATATCGAGTTAACTTCAAACGGCAAGTTACAATACACTTGGAGACAATTATCTATATGTATATCAGTTCGGACATGCAAATGAACGATTCAGTCAGTCAGTCAGCTACAACGTAGGACCAGGCACATATGTGCATCGATCCAAGTTGCCATACCGCATCAGCACAACAAGATGAACACCGGATTCATAGCATGTAAGAGAAAGATTGCATATAGAGATATAGTACAAGAAGAAAGAATTGGTTCGTAGAAAGAAAGATATGAAGCGATTTTAATCTCTTAGTTTAAGGGAAGACAGGGAGTGTATACACCGACGCCATTGTGATCGATTCTGAGCCATGTCACCAAGAGTCTCCAACCATTGGTTACGATAGTCACGCGGACCCCAACCAAGTAGTCTGCATCTACCAACATGGCTCAGACTAGAAGTTAGTGACTTCAAGCACTGATGCAACGTTTTGGTTTGGCCGCCCCTAACTTTCTTCCAACCATCTCCAATACCGGATAGCATTGCACGTCGTGGTAATCGGTGTTCAGGCATACGTAACACGTGGCCCAACCATCTCAGTCGATGAAGATTCATAACCTCATCAACTGATTTACCATCATTCCCTAATACCCTGCGTCTAACCTCACTATTACTTTCTAGGTGATCCCAGCAATATTTCTAAGGCATCTGTGGTCAAATACTAATAGCTTACGAGTGTCTTCTACTCTTAAGGGCCATGTTTCGCTGCCGTAAATTAAAACAGAACGGACTGCCGCGCAGTATACTCGTCCTTTTATTGATATACGGATATCTCGCCTTCGCCATAGGTGACGCAAGTTGGCAAAAGCCAGACGAGCTTTTCGAATCCGTGCTGAGATTTCGTCCGATACCAACCCATTAGGGCTGATCAGACTTCCAAGATAAGTGAAGTTGTCAACGCGTTCGACTACTTCACTTCCTATCCTTAGTTCAGGTGTTGACGCCGACCAGTCCTGAAGCAACAACTTGCATTTAGAGTGAGAGAAGCGCATTCCAAACATCCTGGCATTGTTGCTCAGTGCTACCAGAAGACTCTGCATTTTGTCAGCGTCTTCACCAAACAGGACTATGTCATCTGCGTATTCTAAGTTGATAAGTGGACCTCCTGGTAGGAGATCAATACCCGAGAACTCAGTCGACGAGAGTGTTATTTCCATCAGTAGATCTATGATGAAGTTAAACAAAAATGGGGAAAGTGGACAGCCTTGACGGACACCACTTGAGGTTGCAAAAGTAGATGACAGTTCGCCATAAGCTCTGACTCGACTAGTAGTGTTCGAGTAAAAAGCCTTTACAAGGTTTATGTACTTCTGGGGTACGCCTTTCAATGACAGACACTGCCACAGAATCTCGCGGTCTACCGAGTCAAATGCTGCTTTTAAGTCGAGAAAGACCACCATTGTCGGACGGAAATCCGTGAGGTGTGACATTTTTAGGGTCGACCTTTTCTAACCCCACCCCTCCTTGTGGGAAGGCAGCATCGTTGTCATGCTGGTTGTCTGAAGGAAACACCTTACTGTTGTCACACCTCTGTACAGTCAGCAGTACGACTTCGCCTTCGGACCTTGGGTTTGTTGCTTTTAGTCTTACCGCTCTTCAACCGACCTGTCTGACATGGTAGGACCTTGAGGAACGGTTGTTCCAGCCAGTATAGCTCGGTTGCTTCATCACGATAGGCAAGCCCGACCACCACGTCAAGGTAGCAACAACGGTCGGGCAAATGAACGATAGCTTTTGGGTTCAGTTTACTTGATTATGACTTAAGCAAAGCGTACGGCTTGGTGAGTACAAGAAAATCTGGCGATTTTTCCCACTGAATGCTGTTTAAAATTACCTAGTGATACATATATTTGAGTCGACATACTTTGAAAAAGCGTTCTGAATTTCGCTCTGTCGTAGTGAATTTAACTAATCATGGACAAGTTCACTTAATCGTTCATTTGTGAACTTGTCCATGATTAGTTAAATTCACTACGACAGAGCGAAATTCAGAACGCTTTTTCAAAGTATGTCGACTCAAATATATGTATCACTAGGTAATTTTAAACAGCATTCAGTGGGAAAAATCGCCAGATTTTCTTGCACTCACCAAGCCGTACGCTTTGCTTAAGTCATAATCAAGTAAACTGAACCCAACAGCTATCGGTCAGTTAGTCACCTATAACACAGGATAAGGCACATATATACATCAGTCCAAATCGCCACACCTCATTAGCACAACAACATAATCACCAAATTCATAAAGGTAGTTACTTCAATGGCAATAATATATGAGAGAAAGATTGCATATAAGGATATAATACAGAGTGAAAGAATTTGTTCGTAGAAAGAAAGGCATAAAGTAATTTTAATCTCATGGTTTGGTGGAAGACAAAGAGTGTATACACCTACGCCGTTGTGATTGATTCTTAGCCATGTCACCCAGTCTCCAGCCATTGGTTATGATCGTCGCGTGGACCTCAACCAAGTAGTCTGTATCTACCAACATGGCTCAGATCAGAAGTTAGTTACTTCAAGGGCTGGTGCCACGTTTTGGTTTGGCCGCCCCTAAATTTCTTCCAACCGTCTCCAACACCAGTCAGTATTGCGCGCCGTGGTAGCCTAACCATCTCAGTCGATGTAAATTCACAACCTTATCAATTGATTTACCATTATTCCCTAATACCCTGTGTCTAACCTCACTGTTACTTACCCAGTGATCCCAGCAGATGCGAGCAATATTTCTAAGGCATCTTTGACCAAATATTAGTACAGCAACACTAAACGACTGAAGATATTTTGATGAATAACCTCGTAGTGACCGTAATAATGAAACTCATAATCTACGAACCAAGATACGTAAATGAAATTGGAGCCTGACTAATCAATAACAGGAATTTTTGGGAGACTTTATATGAGTTGTAGTGTTTATTTACTAAGGAAATTTAAAATCATCCTACATAGCAATTATCAGGAATTATACGACCTTAAAATCTGAGGATTTCATGGGGGGTAAAGTGTAGTTATTAGAGTTTGTCTAATCGAACAGCAGTCAAAAGAACGGCTTTAAAGGATTTTAACTGGAATGACTGGCCGATGTGCACAATATAAGCCATATTTCACTTACAAAGTAGGATATCTTGAAAGCTAATAAAGCAATTTTGAGATGTTAAGTAGCTTCACACCAACTTAGTCGAGTTTCAGGAGTATCATATACGATAGACATCATAAGCTGAGTAACTTTTGGCTGGGAACTGAGAAACCGGGTTGTAACACTAAAAAGCAGGATGGTTACAACTTTTAGGTTATCACGAAAGCTACACATCGACTTCTGCGTTAGTTTCCCCCGCTGCTTAGCTGCATTTTATTAGCAACGCGTTGTACCAAAGTAAAATACAAATTCTAACACGTACTTATTTCTCATACGGGGCGTTTATACAATTAAGGTGATAATTCACAATACAACGTAATGGCTAAAAGTATTAATATACTATCTCCCCACACGCTCTGGTACGGCCGAGAGTACGGATAGTCTGCTCTCTCTCGAAATGATCTTACACTGCCACGAGTACATAACCACTGCCAGGGAAATCCTCCTGACCACCTTGTCGCGGATGTGTTGTTTACGAAGTTGAAGTAACGAAAAGCGAACACCCGACGCTTAAACTGAGTTGGTGAGTACGAAGAATCCACCTAGGAGAGTTCGAAAACCGTGATCCCAAATCAATGGAGCATATGGGCTCAGTGGTTCTGAGGGAACGAATGGCGTATGAACCTATTCTTGGTCAGCAGCTACAACTGGACAACATCTAACGTTGATCCACTTCGTTATGGATTAGACCTCTGAGTTAAAGGTTCGGGCACTGGCTCCCTAAAACCACTTACTTTAGTTTGAGCATCCGGGTAGTATCCCAGCCAACAATTTCAATGAGTTGTGTGGTGCGATGTTTTATCCTGGTGTCCAAACAATATTGATAGAAATAAATTTAATAAACAAAACCAAAGATCAGGAGACAAGTATTTGGACTATTTTGTATCAATTCAAAATAGTATTATTACAAAATCCCGAGATTAAAAACGAAGCATCGATAGCAGAACCTTACTGAGTTTTCACAATTTTTACACTAGTTGCAGAAAATATACTTTTAAGTCGTCCTATCTGCATATTTTTATCCCCAAATGAAAGTGTGGAAAAAAAGACATACGAACAGGATACATACCAATGTTTACTAACTAGTGTAATCGGACTTACATTGTAGTTAGTCAAAACAGTTTCAGCTGCTGTGGCGACTAAAGACTGGAATGAATGGTTTCTTGCGACGAAATCAGTTTCACAGTTGACTTCGACAATAATAGCATGACTTCGAGAACCTAGGACCCCTAGAAGACCCTCATTCATCGCTCTTCCGGCTAGTTTTCCTGCTTTTTCCCATCCTCGACTAACAGCTTCGCTAGCTAACCATTCTTTTGCCCTATCAAGATCATTTTCATGTTTGATGAGAGCTTCTTTGCAAGCCGAAAAAGTGAAGCCTGTTAATTTACGCAGTTTGTATAGTAATGCTTTGTCAGCTGCTTGAGAGAAGAGCCGAATATGGACACAGAATTTAGACGTCTTGCATGCCAAGGTAGGAAAAATCAACACATTCATGTTTATGTAACAACAACATTTAACAGTTGGCCTCGTTAGGCAGTGTTTCAGTATCCAATATCTTTGTCATCAATCATTCTTCATTAATAAGGGCAGTCTGTGTACGTGTGTTAATCCTTGCAGCTTGTTTGACAGTGAAAGTTCAGCTACTTGAAAATATTCTCTGATGGGGCTGATACCACTTGTTCGGATAAGGCGTTCAAGTCATGGACCGCTCGATGAAAAAACGGAACCGTACTCTAGGTTTATGAGATAATGGTCTTGAAACCTTCGTGCTTTGGCCTTGGGGATGATTATTTCTGGAGGGAACATAGATATTAGACATATTAACATCTGAATTGTTATTATAGATATAAAGAGCCAATATAACTTCACCTCGTGTTCTAAGATACAGGCTGATAAGGTTCGGACGTTTTAAGCGCTCACCGTAACGACCCTTCAACAACTTTTTCTCATGCACTGAATGCACTTAAGTGAGTTATTACCCCTAATAAGACTTGTGCCAGCGGCTTGGATACAATAATGTAGGTGTAGTCCCACATAGCTGAAACGCCTCTTTGACAAACACATTTGAATGCTCAGCGAAGTGATCATAACGCACGAAAACCTTTGTCAGCTACTGCGTAGCAATGTGCAGTTGTTTTTAAGTTGTGAGTTATTGTTACCCCTAAGTGTTTGTGTTCCTTAACACATGGAAGCGATGTACCGTTGATAATATAATGGTAACTATTGCCGTGTCTAATGTGTATTAGCACAGTCTTTCTAGGATTAATTTCCAAGCTTTAACTTTGCAATCATCTGACTAATTCATCCATTTCACCTTGGAGATCAAAATGATTAACCTTACTACTTATAGTTCTCCAGAGTTTTACATCATTCACAAACAGTAATGTCAACAACTTAATCAGTCGCGGTAATTCGTTGACATAGAGAAGGAAAAGTAGGGGACCTAAGATAGTGCGTTGGGTTACACTACCTTTAACCAGATTCTGTTCAGATAGTATCTTATCTTTTCCCACCCTCTGTCTTTGACTACAGAGGGAGCTTATTATCCATTTTTGCACGGCACCTATTATTTCAAAGCTCGAAGGCTTCTGAATAGAACCTAAGTGGGAAAACATATCAAATGTTCTGTAAAAAATTATGATTACCACATCGAAAGACAAACTGTTATCTTGTGCTGCTGTCCAATCTTTCTCAATTGGTAAGCTGATTCATCATGAATGCTTATTTTGAAATCCGTCTCGCTCAGGAATTAACAGATTGTATGAATCTGTGTGACTTGGTAAATTAACCTGGATCATTTTTGGGATATCTTAGCTGATAAGCTGGTTACATTGAAAAGTTGGTAGCTAGATACGATCTGTCTTTCATATTTAAATATAAGATGAATTATAGCATCTTTTTGGTCCTTAGGGGCTTGAACAGCATCCAGAGTGGTCCTGAAATAGTATCTTCAAGAGATGACAGCGAGCGGGGATGTATCCTATCAGGACTCGGTATCTTACTAGGTTTGAGGTCAATGAATAATTGAAGAACAGCTTCCTCAAACACATCTACAGATCCCATAGATCGTATCCTAGTGTTGTGTGTATGAGAAGTTTTGTTGACAATACTCGTGCGGTAGATTGTTGAAATAGTTTGATGTAGTCTCAGCATTAGCCAGATCTGATTCAGTTAGTGTATCTGAATTTTCATGCGACAATACTAAAGAAATGCTATCACTACGCCTTGTCCTTCTAGTGTTAAGAAAGTCTTTTCGGGAAAGTAAAGCTACCGTATAATGACTGCCTTTCATAAGTGATGGGGCTTCAATTATTTTACATATGTTCCAGATTTTTCAGTATAAATACTTCAACGATTCGTGATTTGTTTACAAGGGCATGTCTCAGAAGTGTTTTCTACCCATCTGCATCCATCCATAGAGGACAATTTGATAGCCTACGTGTTGACCATGGGATGAATGGTAATGTTACGGGCTCGAATGTGGCTTTTAACTTATCTCTTTCTCCTTCGACCGATCCATCTACATTGACTGAATAACCTTATGAGGTAACACGCTCTCTGATTGCAGAAACGTTAGCCCGCCAGATATTGGGACGGGGTGGAGCAGACACATATTGCATATTGTGTCCGAAACCTGAAGTACAGCATGACATGATCACCGTTCGCCTGTGGAGGGAGGTGTAGGGATATGGTCTACTTCGGTATTAGTACTACTATAATGATAGACCTAATCCCAAAATTGTGGATTTGTCACGGTGTGATTGCCCAATCTATAAGATCTTATATGGTAGTCAACTTACCTCTATACTGACTCGCCCCACTGTGACGACCAGCAGTATGACGTCCAGCATTGTTTAAGAATATATTCGAGCTGGGAGGATAGTAATGCATTCGATGCAAAAGTCAAGGGAGGGGGTTATGCCATTTTGATTAATCGTTCCCACGATCAGCACTGCCTACCTTCTATAAATGTTACATATTGAATGTGAATCTTCCTAGTAATTATACGTTGAGTTTCGAAGACCATGTGATTAGGAAACAATACCATTATATTACTCTTCAACCAGCCAATGTGACGTTGGTTCGTTACTAAATCGAATGGGATTGTCGCGTTCCGGTGGTTATCGATAGAATTATAAGAACCTTCCAAGTATTGGTAAACCGAATGATAGATCAAAAAAGAAAGCGGCAGCAACAGATCGGGAAATGCATGTAATAATTTCAAGATGTTTGGTTTAGTTCTGAAAACGCTCAAAACGAAAATCTTCGTGAATATCATTGAGAAGTTAAACAAAGTGGGATTATAATGAAGACGGATGAATTAGTTCGAGATATTTCAATCAGTCACATTAAGATACATAGTAATAACCGTTGGTTAAGAGTTTATGTTATGGGCAGTTTAGTATTTTGTGTATAGAAATAGAAAAAACAATCAATCTTTATATTGGTATTATTATTATTCACAAACATCTTATGGGTACGTAAGTGTTGTAAAGAAACCATTTGGTGTTTCTTTAGAGGTGCGATAATACACAAGTTTTAATAATGTTAGAATTCTCCATATTTGGAAAAAATAACAATGATAACACGATTGTAATTGAATAATAATAAATCAGGTTCTGTGTAACTGAGAAGAATATTGAGTTGACTGCAAAGAAGGGAAGGGAGAAAATAAGAGAATAGAAATGAAGGAAACGTAAAACACGTAAAGTTTAACAAGAGTCTTTGGTTCAAACTAGAAAGTTAGTTAGCTTTACGCCGGTATTCTGTCCGTATGAGTTAATTCGGAGCTGTTTTTGCCTTAGGAGGCTAACTGAAGGAACGAAGGCATAAACGCGGAGAGGAAGAATTACAACTAGTGTCCCAGCTAGTTTGATCAATTTAACGCGGTTTATTTAGTTGTGGGGAGATTCTCTAAACCTCGGTTTTAATAAATCGTGACAGGACTTGATGAAACTACTAGTAATAATAATAATAATTTATTATTAGTACATATGAATTGTTTTCAAAAACCCTTTCAATACGTGAAGACGGTAATAATCATGTGAATTTTGGACATATGGCTAACAGTAACATGTTGAACATGAGTGGATCCAAGTGACATCTTCTTTATATTCAATGTTTTCATTTGCAATGAACCAGCTATTTACATTCGTACTTGCCGGCTGATGCTACATACAAGTTAGTTGCAAGAATTGAGTTTGGCATAAGCTAGAAACTGACTTATTTGACATAGAGTGATTATAAGTTGCTGAACTCGACAAGGCTTGTGTACCTCAAATATATGTGATATGGTGTTTTACGATGCTTTCGGATAAATCAATGTTTACAAAATGATGAACAGTGAGTTCTGATGATGTGATCATCAGGGAGAGCATAAAATGCAACCAAAGGGAGTAGAACTCATGTTTATGATAATGACCTGAACCCTAGTCAGTTTTGAAACAAATTCAACAGTAATGTTTTTAGTTTGCAGGATATTCACTCGACCTCTTATACTGATGGTTTGTATGCATGGTTGTCGCTAAGCCTTCAATTAGACTCGCAGGGGTTTAAGATGTTTATTAAATGAGCAAGTACTAGAGAAATACACTGAAATCGTCTGTAATATATAGAGATAACCACGAGAAAACAGCACTGTTTAACGATAATTACAAGTCACTTTGTCGACTGAGTTTATGTTAATATTTTCACCAATTTTATCAATCATATTGATGATGTCACAGGTATTCAGTGTTTGACAACGCTTCTACCAGTAACACCTTCTAATGTATTTCGTTACCACCCAGAGAAATCAAAAGACAGGGTCGAGGAGATCGGAAGAGTATATTTGGCGTTGACCAATATATCGGAATTCTCTGATCTAATCTGGCTAGCGATTGCGGTTGATGTTGAGCACGGCGTTACCACACGTGATCTGGTGCGGATGCCTGACCGAGCGCCTTCAGCTAGATGAGTCCACTAAAACATATGGTCAGCATGCAATGTCGAAAACTTACAGAGCTATTTATTTTAGGGATTTATTTACCGCTACAGATCACTCCCCCCTAGTGGGGCAGTGATGACCCTAAGACGTGGCCAGCCAGAAGTTTAAACCCAATGACTTTGTCGTTGGTAAACACTCTTCTGATAGCTTACTAAGTGTAGCAGCGTCTGGTCGTCTTTCCTTACTATATGGGACGGAGGTACAACATAGTAAAAAAAGAAAATGTACAATGAAAATTTCGGATCCTCATAAACGTCATCGTTCTTTTCCAGCCGTCCTGGAAAAGAAAAAAGAAAATGTAAGTGCATGTCGAAATACACTCGTGTGTGCGTAAAAACACAATGTCGGCGGATAAAAAACTGGAAAATAAACTCATGAACACGTAATAACGTTAAAAAAATTGTTTTTTTGTTTGTTTTTTTAAATAGAAATAAAAATATATAAGCATATTAAAATCGTTTTTTTTAAAGAAAATAATATAAAATGTCGAGAAGTGCCTTACGTGCAATAGTCGTTTAAATGTTCTGGAAATCTCACCCTTTTTCCAGAACGCGTCGTTTTAAGTTTATTTTCGGATACTGTCGAAGTAT